GATGTAAAGGACCTTTCTTCCCCGCCTCCACTGAAGAAGCCGCTAGCATGGAAGAATTTGCAATGAATAGCAGGCAATTCTGCTCAGCACAAGATGCACATCACATTGAAGGGGATGTAAACTCGGGGATTCAGGGCCCAATTCAGAAAGGGGACAATCTTGGTTAAAGCCCTAGTTGAGGACTACAAACCTAAAAGCAATTCCTGGCTCTGACACAGACTGAATGACCTTGGGAAAGTCATTTAGGCCCAGATCTTGATCTACTGAAGCCAATGGGAGCTTTCCTATTGAGCTCAAGGAGCACAGGATCAAATCTTAAATCTTTTTAAACAGCCGCACTGCTCAGCTCCTGCTCTTGCAGCCACCCATCATGCAGCTAACCTGCTTGCACTGACATGCTGCTGCATGGCTCTGCTTAAGAGCTTAACATTCTTCAATTTCTTAAAATGCTTTCTACACCATCACCAGCAGCTTTAGATGTATAATCAGTACTTCTTTTGTTTATAAAAAAAAAAAAAAAAAAAAAAGGTGCCAGTACTCCAGGGGAAAAGTTGTTGAGCTCTGACTGGAGGTGCCGGTACTGCATACCAGGCAGTACCATCACAAAAAAAGCACTGTGTATAATGTCCGAATGGCAACCAATATCACCAGATAAAGAAACAGAACTCAGGAAGGGTAAAGAAAACTTAGTTTAACAGCATCTTATTTGGCAAAAACTACATATCAATGGCTGGGGCTGGGAAATCCTCATTCTATAATTATGGTCCTCAGTTTCCTATTGCTTGTCTGTGGGATCTCTGTCTCTTTTTTAATTGTCTCTGTATGCTGTATAATTAATTTTGCTGGGTATAAATCAATTGAGGTGATGGGGTATGAGAAAAACTTGTAGCCTGGCCTTGTCTGTAAAGAATATGAGTCTGCATTTTAAACTCTAGTTTAGACCCAAGCTAGAAAAGCAACCACTTAACCAACTCCTTGTTAGCTTTTATAAATCCACTACTGCTTGCAGTAACCCTCCAGCTGGCTCTACAGAGAAATACCAAGCTCTGTGTGTACGGAGTCTTAAAGCTGGTCCTATTTCACTCTTCTACACTGAGAGAATTTGGTAGCATAAATGGAATCAGAGGAAAGATTATGGATTCCATTAACAGGACTCACCATAATTCAGGCGTTTGTCAATCCAGCTCAGCAGTTCTTTGATATATTTACACCACATTTTGGCATATTCCAGGGCTGCATCAACACCACCTTCACATTTTATCAGCATCTCATCAGCCTCTTCAACTGAAAAAAAATTCAGATTCACAAGGGCTTCAGAAGACAGGCAGAGGCAATATGAGTTTTAGGCAATTTTGCTGCATTAGGTCCCCAATAAAATGCTTTTAAAATTGAATTTTTATGAAATTATTTTTTGTGAATTAGAGGCCAGAGCCCATTGTGTAGTGATGCCAAGAGTGGTGAATTGCAGTTATGTTCCCTGTCCACTTCTGAGGATGCTGAGACAGATTCTCAGCACTGAAATCAGCAATTCTGAAAGAACATCAAGCCAAAAGCGGCCATCACACAATTTAGAAAATGGCCTTTCTTCAATGGAAGGGTCTCATGAAGGGAAATGTAGTTTTACGTGGGACTTTATGATGAAAACACAGAACTGACAGGTCAATGAAAAGTGAGCAACAGCAGCATTTCAAATACTGTAATTGATTTTAATTACTGGGCAAATATTTATTGTACTAAAATTGGCAGATAGCTCTAGTAATGCAGTGAATTAGTGTCTTGGTGCTCGGAAGTCAAAGTCAGTATAAGAAAGTGGCTGATAGTGGGATAACAGGTGAAAACATGTAAACAGAGCTCAGAGGCAATGTTCCACTAATCTTTTCCATTCACATGAACATGCAGAGTTTTTCCTTCCAAGACTGGCCAGGCCCTTTAAATCACTGCAGGAGCCTCATGCTCTGGGCAGTTCTGAAGGTTTCTGGGTGTGTGTGTGTGCGTGTGTGGGGAGGGGCAGCACTGAGGGATGGCTGCCCCAGGTCCCATCCTTTCTAGGAGTACCAAACCAGGTCCCCCTTCCACCTTGCCCAGGGGCCCAGCAAGTCTGTTAGGCCTCCTGTGTGCCCTAAGGCATGTATGGATGTGCACCACCAGCAGTAACACAAACCTAGTTACTGTGGGTGCTCTGTTAATTGGAATTGGAATTGGAATCTCCTCATAGCAGCTACATAAGTGCATGGCTTACAGGGAACACTGCTCAGAGGAGCGTGTGCACCCCGTGTTTGCTCTGAAAGGTTAACATAGATAGAGAATGGGGCTAATTAACCGAACAGGCTGCCTCTGAGTGGAATCAGGCCGCTAAGAAATTTCCTCATTGAGTGGAGGAGCCCGTCCGAGGAGGAAGGAAGAGAGTGGTCTCTAAAAGACGAGCAGCCCACAGTTACTTCTTGGGAGTAGACTGTTAAGAGACTGACAAAGTCAGAGGGAAGGTGGGAGAAGGTTCAGGGACAGGTAGTAAAGTCTAGGAGGGAACAGACCCTAGGTGCTGATTAGAGGGTCTGAGCTGGAACCCAGAGAAAAGGGCGGGCCTGGTGGTTCCCCTATCAGACATTGATGGAGTGGCACCAGGGTGCCCACACTGAACTGAGACAGCCAATGAGAAGGGACTTTGTTACAGAAGCCTGAAAAGTACAGGCTGGAGAACTGAGTCATGAAGGGGTAATTGCTGGAGCAAGAGCAGCTGCAGACCAGTGGGAGAGGCTGAAGAGATGGCATGCAAGTGCAGGAAGGAGTGTCAGCCTTGCAAAGCTAGTCCCTAGAGTGGCCAAGAGGAGGTGCCATGCTGGTGGTAAGAAGAACCCCCCATGACATGGGGCAGTGTGAATACTGAGCTGACCCCCACAAGACAGATATGATTATAGTGATCGCTACTGGAATCTGCCATGGCCATATAAGCTAATGGCAACCATGTGACAGCTGAACTGTACATTCTTGTGACTACAGGTTGAACTGCTCTAGTCTGGCACCCTCAGGACCTGACTGGCACCAAACCAGAGAATTTGCCAAACCATGAGGTCAATATTGTAGTGAAAGGACCTCTTTATTTTTGTTTCACTGAGGCAAATAAATAGAAAAGCACTTGGAGTACTGCTTAATAATGTATGACTGTACTGATAGATTCTGTATGAGCCTACACCTAACCACGGCTTATCACTAACAAAGCGTTAGTGTTATTAAACAATTTTACTGCATAGGCACAAGTAGTCAAAGCATAAAAAACATACTTACGCTTAGCATCATTACCAGTACTTCCACAGCTTGCTGGTCTCTTAGAAGACATTTAGGGGTAAACTAGGGCTAAATAACAGCACAGAACACTGAGAACCAGGACTGGGGGCTGCAATAAACTTTATGGAATTATGGGAAACGTAGCCTCATCCACGATGAGAGGACAACTGACTAACTAAAATTAGGCCGGACCATGGATGTTGCTGGGCCAGAGTATGCTGGACTAGAGAGGTCCAACCTATAGATGGAGTACAAGTACCAATGACAGAAATGGATCAACTATTCTTGAGTCATCTCTATATTTTAGTTTGCTTCTCTTAAGTTACCTGTGATGTTTGTCTGCATATACTCCTCCAAATTGCTTTTGCTTTCCTCCACCTATGGGAAAAAAGAGGAAAAATAGTATCCAGATGTTTAGAGGAATTTACCAAGAGCTGGTCTTGGAGTCTTTGTTCCTGGGAAGTTGAATGTAGTGCGGAAGATGTCCCAAAACTTGACAGAAGCTAGTGGCATAATATAAAACTCCACAACTTACAGAAATGTGAGGGACAAATAAGCTTCTAGCCCTCTTGACTCTGGAGAAAAGCCTAAAATCATGACATGAGTGCAGCTGTTAGCTCCATGCCGCTGCCGACATGTCCCTATGGCCTGGTGGGCATAGCCATTCCATCCATAGGTGTAAGCTGTGAAACTATTCATTCATTTTGTGAAACTGACTGGATATCAGTGATTCCAACTCTCCTGATTTGATCACAAGCCTCCTGATAATTGGGGCTTTTTATTTTCTTGGAAAACCCCAGCCCCTTATTAGAATTAAGCCAGAGCTGGGAACTTTGCTACCTGATGCCGCATGCACCATTATCAATTGTGATCGCTCGGACTTAGTATTCTTGTTTGTTGGTGCATGATATTGGAAGAGAATCCCTGCCTTATTTTTTCTAAAGGCAGACTTTAGGTCTCATGGTTTGTGGAGAAAAGCGAGAGACCCTGTCCCAAGCTCAGCCAAAGGCCTCAAGCACTAAATTCCAAATAAAAAGATCCCCAACTGTATTTTAGCTGTGGTTCCAAGAAGCTATTCTCTTTTTTTAGGGGTTCAGATGGAGGCTGATTCATGCATTTTGAACGCTTGGGGTTGGCAATTCAGTACATGCAAGTTGCTAGTGTCTTCCACTATGTCCAGGAGCCCAGACAGAAACCAGGATCCTACAAAAGACCTGAAACTGAGTCTGCGCCCTGACACCCCCATGTCCTTGGGCTGGGATGCCCCCCCCCCCAACATCCATACCCTCGCATTGGGATCCTGCCTCCCCCTCCCCACTAACATCCATGTCTTCATGCCAGAATCCTGGCCTGGGGTAACTGAAAGTCAAACCCAACATCTCCATTCCGCTGGCTGCAGAACCACTTCAGCTTGGGCAGCTCCCTGACTAGTGCAGTTCACATCATGGCAGAGGTTTCCCAGATCAAGTGGCATCCTCTGAAAGCTGGACTATGTGGCTGCTGGGGGCCTGAATAGTCCCAGCACACCTCAGCCACACATGCCTGATTTAATAACTTTTAATTTTAAATATTTAAAATATTTTGCAGGCTAGATTGGGGAAGTGCTTGGGCCATAAATGTTTGCATTTGAGACCTCTGCCCTACTTTACCTACTGATTCTTACCATAGAGAAAATTACTTCTCCTGAGTTGGCAAGAATGACTCCAAACGGCATGCATCTGAAAATGTCATGAAGTACAGGCAGTCCCCGAGTTACGCGGATCCGACTTATGTCGGATCCGCAGTTATGAACAGGGCTTTTCTTGCCCCGGAGGACGGGAGCAGCGGGACGCCCAGATGCGCCGCGATCCGCCGCCCCCATCCTCCGGGGCGAGAAAAGCTGCTCCCCGTCTCCCTGGTCTGCAGGGAGACGGGGAGCAAAGCCTTGGAGCACACCCGCAGCGGGACAGCCCAGGTGCGCCGCGGCTGTCCCACTGCGGGCGTGCTCCGAGGCTTTGCTCCCCATCTCCCTGGTTTGCTGGTTGGGAGATGGGGAGCAAAGCCGCGGAGCATGCCCGCAGGGGGACAGCTCAAGCGCGCCCGGGCTGTCCCGCTGCGGGCGTGCTCCGCGGCTTTGCTCCCCGTCTCCCTGGTCTGCAGGGAGACGGGGAGCAAAGCCTTGGAGCACACCCGCAGCGGGACAGCCCAGGTGCGCCGCGGCTGTCCCACTGCGGGCGTGCTCCGAGGCTTTGCTCCCCATCTCCCTGGTTTGCTGGTTGGGAGATGGGGAGCAAAGCCGCGGAGCATGCCCGCAGGGGGACAGCTCAAGCGCGCCCGGGCTGTCCCGCTGCGGGCGTGCTCCGCGGCTTTGCTCCCCGTCTCCCTGGTCTGCAGGGAGACGGGGAGCAAAGCCTTGGAGCACACCCGCAGCTCCAAGCTCTTGCTCTGCCCCAGGCTTCCTGGAATCAGCCACTGATCAGTTTCAGCAGCAGCTGACTTGGGGACGCCTGGGTTTCTTAAGTTGAATCTGTATGTAAGTCAGAACTGGCGTCCAGATTCAGCCGTGGTTGAAACTGATCAGTTTCAGCAGCGGCTGACGCCAGTTCCGACTTACATACAGATTCAACTACAAACCTACAGTCCCTATCTTGTACGTAACCCAGGGACTGCCTGTAATGTCTCTTCTTTAGCCACCAAAGTAAAGTTAGCCATGCTAACTCTTTCATTTTCTATTTTGTACAGGTTCTTATGACCACTGTATCTGTGCACCTAGCATCTCTCTTTCTCTCCTGTGGTAAGAACCCTAACCAAAACAACTTAGTTTCCCTTGCTAGAACAAATGCTACTCAATCATATCTCTATTGAAAAGAGTTCTCTCTTAGGACTTACTAGGAGCACCTTGCTCTCTGGGGTCAGGTCTGTGGTGTCAGTGCTCTCTGAGTCACCAATGAACATGTCAGCTGTCCTGTAAAGTAAATACGCTGATTAAATAATGCAAACTTAAAGCTATATTGGAAGCTGCAAAATGCAGGACTATAGCATAAGAAGCAATGAGCTTAAATTGCAGCAAGAGAAGTTTAGGTTTGTTATTAGGAAAAACTTCCTAACTGTCAGGGTGGTAAAGCTCTGGAATACATTGCCTAGGGAGGTTATGGAATCTCCATCACTGGAGGTATTTAAGAGCATGTTAGACACACTGCTGTAAAGGATGATCTAAATGGTGCTTGGTCCTGCCATGAGTGTAGGGCACTGGACTTGACCTCTCAAAGTCTCTTCCAGTTCTAGAATGCTATGAGTCTATTACCCAGCCTCAATTACTTCATTGGATTTCGTGGATGTAACTAAGACTATGTTTATGGAGTATACACAGAGGACGGCTTATAGTGCAACCAAGGCTGACTCTCCCTAAACCAGGACTCTGTTGTCCGGCAAAACCATGGATTTTCTTGGACCAGAGAGCCCCAGTGGCTGGGAGTCCAGTGTAGGAAGGCCGGTGACTGGGAACCCTTCCAGGGCTAGGAGCCCTGCCAGGATGGTGACAGCAGGGCTGGTGGCAGCGAGGCTGGAAGCCCAACTAAGTTGGCAGCAGGGAGTCCAGGGGCCAGCAGTAATGGGGCTGGCAGTCCAGCTGGACTGGTGGAAGTCTGGATAAGCAGCCCTGCCAGGGCCGGGAGCCCAGCATGACTGAGATTAAAGGGGGGCAACTTAGTCCTCCCCTGCTCTGGCAAACTTCCTTGTTTGGGATTTGCCAGGTCCCGAGGGTGCTGACGGGAGGTCCGACCTGAACAGCTCTAAGGAGGTGTCTGCGTCTATCCCAGAGCTAACTAGAGCAACAGAACAAACATACGCAGCAGAATGAACACTCCGTCTTTTATCTGTTTGAATTCTAGCTGAACCGTTGGGCTACGTATACACTGGCCGCGAGTACTTGCGCAAGAACACTGACGTTCTAATGTATAAAATCAGGGCTTCTTGTGCAAATACTCTGACGCTCCCACTCAGGGATAAGCCCTCTTGTGCAACTGTTCTTGCGCAAGAGGCCAGTGTAGCCAGGCAACATCAATTTCTTGTGCAAGAAAGCCCGACGTTTAAAATGGCCATCGGAGCTTTCTTGAGCAAGAGAGCTTCTACACTGGCAAGGATGCTCTTGCGCAAAAGCACATCTTTTGCGCAAAGGCACATGCCAGTGTAGAAGCTCTCTTACTCAAATACTCTAACACAAAAACTCTTGCACAAAACCTTGACAATATAGATGTAGCCTTGTTGTTCCTGTAATCCCCATCATTTACCATTTAATACTCTACAAAGCAATAGAGATTATTTAAATCATCACTTCTCTGACATTTTATTGGCTTTTGTAATGGGCCTCCCTTTATGATTTCATATATACTTTTTTCTTTTGCAAGTTAAATAGCTTTATTTGAGATGGCATGCTTTAGCGGGCAAACATAAAACACTGGAGAGAAAACAAGTGTTTCATTATATAATATAGGGCCAGGTAGGAAGCTTACGGTAGTGAGCACTGAGTCACGCAAATAGACCTATTCATTTAAGTGGTCACCATCACGTGAGGATCCCACAGTCAGGCTCAGAATGTGTGTGGATTAAGGCTGAAAGACAAGATTTTCAGAGCAGAGACAGTCACTCACTCTGTACTAGGGATGTTAAATATCGGTTAACTGAATAGTCGATTAACCTCACGATTTCCTACGGGTTAGTCCCTAGGAGGGAGTGAGGCCGGCAGCCATTGCACTCTGGCCTCACTCCCAAGGAGCCCCCTGCCACTACACACTGCTGCCTTTGGGGTGCCAGGAGGGAGCTGGTCCACGAGGGGAGTCATTTTTAAAACTAGCTTCCCTTGCAGACTGGCTGCTTGTCACCCTGTGCTGCTGCCCCTGTTTGGGGGTGGTCTGCGTTCCCAGACCTGGTGTGAGCCAGAACTGAGCCGGGCTGCTTGCCTGCCTGGCTCCTAATACACCTTAAATGCAGAGATGCAGTGGGGGTAGGTCCCAGACCCAGCATGAACCAGGACTGAGCCAGTCCACTGGCCAGCCTGCTAAAAAATGTATTGGTGCGGTGGAGGGAGGGAAATGTGTGTAGTCTACAGCATTAACTTATAGGCTTTTGGTTACTGGTTAATCGATTAATCGACTACACTATTACATCCTGTACAGCGCCTAGTGCAATGGGGCCCTGAATCAGGTTGGTCTCTGGGTGCTACTATAACACACATATTAAGTATTGACAACAACAATAATAATGGAGCAGATTCTGCTCTCACTGTCACTGGTGTAAATCCAGAGCTCCCTGAAAGCATCCTCTCGCTATTAAGGAACTGCAAAGTTCAGAAGAAAAGAAAATGATTGACTAGCCTAGGAAGCCTGGAAGATGATAGTTAGTTAAGTACAGGCAGTCCCCGGGTTACATGGATCCGACTTACATTGGATCCCTACTTACAAACGGGGTGAGGCAACCCCGCACTAGCTGCTTCCCCCCAGCAGACCAGGGAGACGCGAAGCTAGCACCCCCCCAGCAGACTAGGGAGACGCGGAGCGGCTTTTCTCAGCAGACACCTCAGCTTGAGAATAAAGGACTGAGGGAAGTGAGGTGTGGGAGAATAAAACTGAGCTCTGGAGAAATGTTTGGCTAGAGTTTCCCCTACAATATGTACCAGTTCCGACTTACAGACAAATTCAACTTAAGAACAAACCTACAGTCCCTATCTTGTACGTAACCCGGGGACTGGCTGTAAATCCAAATTATAGGCAGAAAGTCTGAGAGAAAAAGCAGTAGGGAAGGGATTCTCATTTTTCTAAACATGAAAAGGATACTAGTAAGCAATGGAGGTAATGAGTCTCAAAGAGTGACAGTACTGTGGCACATCTCTCTCTGTCCCGAGGGTCCTGTACATCTAGGTGGTTACTATATGCCTCAGAGGCTCACTGTGACCCTCCATACTGCCTCTTATCTTTTTCTAAAGGTCAGGGTCACAGCTTACTGAGCCATTTTCATCACTGGCAAAGTCAATAAATTGGGGGGGGGGAGACCCCCCTCCTTAAACCTGGGCCTCCTTTTTCCAGAATCAGACTTTCTAGTGGTGTGGGGAGAATTGGAGGGACCCCAGGCATAGCCACTACTTGGGGTTCTGGCCCAGGGAACCTAAGTAGCAGCAACTGTTGGGAGGGTTTTCCCTCTAGCCCCAATACAGCAGCCTTTTCCCTGGGCCACTTCCCCAAATGCTCCCCTAGCATCTTCCTCATGGAACTTGAGGGAATCTTTCCTTTCTCGACAACAGACTTCCTCCTCTCAGTCCTTCACTCTTTTCCTTTCCCCTCCTTTATCTAGGGAAGCCCCACAGGTCTTAATTAGCTGCAGGTATCTAATTAGTCTGCTGCTTCAGGCAAGTTCTTAATTAGCCTCGGGTGCCTGCCTTGATTACATGGAAGCAGTCTCTGGCAGTTCACTCCAGAAACAAAAAGCCATTCACTCAGCTCCCAGCATATCTGCCCTCCATCAAACTATTGCAGCCAGCTGCCCAGGGTCTGTCACAGTGCACACAGTGATTGTGTAAATTCTGTAAAAGAAGGAAAGGGAAAAAGTAGATATGGATGGTTAAAGCCCCATGGAACTAGTCCCATGCTGCTTCTATACATACGCATTTCCGATCGAGATTTCTAAAGCATCCAAACTTCGGAAAATCTCACTGTACCGCTTCTTGTTTTCAGATCCTCTCACTTGATGGTTGAGACCTGGAAGTAAGTAGGAATGAGAAATAATTTTGCTAAGAAATCCCAATTGGCCTAATCTAGTGTCCACTGTGCATTGCAGTGGGCCTTGGGTCAAGTCCAGTGTTCCCTCTAAACTGCACAGCAGCACAGCTTCGCAAGTGATTAATCAGCCCCGCCTAGTCAGAGAATCAGGACTCTATGCACGATTCGTTATGTACATTGGCAGAGTTGTGAGAGTGTGTTGCACTGCAGATTGGGACGGAGGTTCACGGGCAGGGCTGAGTTGTGGAAGTTGCCATTGCTTGAATAACACATGCTATCTTCTGTTGCAATGTGTTGTGTGTAGTAACCATTTCTCAATACCATACATGCTTATTTCTGTTGATACTTTAGCTGAAGAAATATCATATCTGCTTCATTCCATAACAAGCATTAGTAACACAGCAATAAATTCCGGCCATTGATCTTCCAAAGGACTGAGTATTTTCTGCCCCAAATTGCACAAACCCATGGGTTGTGGTGAGCTCGTGTTTTATGCATGATGTACAGTATGCAGACATTCAGTTATTTCTATGGACAGAAACTAGACCTGTCTCACTGCCGAACAGCAAGGGCATTTTAAAAACAGAATTAGGCATATTTGCTATAAACAGATGTAAACGTCACTCTTTTGTGTCGTCCCCCGGACATTCCAGGAAACAGGATGTGGTTGACCTAAATCAAGAGTTGCCTCATGTGTAGCTCAGAGATGCAGTCGGAGAGCAAGTACTTGCAAATGTCACTTAATGGTGCTTGCTGGAAAAGTCAGTGTCTTGTTTTGTTAATCTCAAACTGGACTGTTGTGTCACAACTGAAATATGCAGATTTCCGAGTCCTGTTTTTATTGGAAGGTTGGCTGCCTTGGCAACTCCTCAGTGAGGTGTGGACTGTGGAACCCACACATAGCCCGAGTTGTCCCTGGGGAGTCAAGGGAGTGGGGAATTCTGCCCAGTGTGCTGGGAGAAGGCACCTACTCGTATGCCCCTTCAGTGGGTGTGCTGTGTACTCTCCACTGCAAACTAGGGATGTAAAATCCCAATTAATCATTTAAGTGGCTAAACGTTAGGTTAATCTAACATTTAATCAGTTCACTAAGCAGGATCCTGGGCCAGAGACTGTTCCAACTGGCTGTAGCAACTCGAGCCCATGGGGCTTCTACTCCTAGTCCCATATGGGGACTGGCTGCTGGGTCCCAGTTCTCAGCCCTAACCTCGTGGGACTGACTGCTGGCTGCCAGCTGCCAGCCCCAGCAGTGCAGGGCAGGCTGCTGGCTCCTAGCTCCAGCTGCGCGGGGCGGCCTATTGGCTGGTGTCCCTAGGCTGGAGCAGCCCTCCACCTGCAGCAGGCTGTGGGTGGGGAGCTACTGCCAGGGAACTGGTTAGCTATTACCTGGTAAGCCTCATCCAGTAAGGGTGAGGCTTACCAGGTAACCAGTTAACTGGTTACCCATTCACATCCCTACTGCAAACCAGCCTTTTCCCCTCAGGATCATGATGCAAAAGGAGATGCTGTCATGGACTCTTCCTCTCCTCTCACTCTTCAGGGTGACCTGTGCCCACAATATTATAGATAAAGGACACCTATTCTCACAACCTTTCCTTAAAATAGGAAATCAAATTGTCTGGCAGAAAGCGAGCAGGCTTGGGAGGTTCTGGAGAGAGGCTCACGGTGAAGCAGAGAACAAACAGCTTTGCAGACAATCTAGTTTCCATATTCTAATACAGCTTCTGGGTGAGGGTCAGGTGAGAGTGAAACTCTCTCTCTGTCATGTTGGGTCAGAGGTCAATTCACTTTGAAAAAGCATCATGAAGAATAAAGGAAAAGGGCCAATGTAGCCCATCCAAATCCCAACACTCCCCAAAAAGGGATAGAGAATGAGAGAGAGAATGTTTTATTGCTGCTATATAAATCCATGGTACGTCCACATCTTGCATACTTCATGCAGATACAATCACCTCATCACAAAAAAGATATCTTGGCATTGGAAAAAGTTCAGAAAAAGGCAACAAAAATTATTAGGGGTTTGGAATGGCTGCCATATGAGGAAAGATTAATAAGACTGGGAATTTTCATCTTAGAAAATTGAGGGCATGTCTACTCAGCAAGGCTAAAGCCAAAATAAGCTATGCAACCTGAGCTATGTCAATTGTGTAGTTTAAGTCGAAATAGCTTATTTCGGCTTTTGGCGCTATCTACACAGCAGGAAGTCAGAGTTAGAGCATTCTCCCTCCGACTTCCTTTACTCCTCGTAAAATGAGGACGACAGGAGTTGGAGTAAGAAGTCTTCCAGCTTGACATTATTTCAACATTATGTCGAAATAACTCCTTGGTGTGGAGACGCGGACTGTGTTATTTCAGAATAACATCGGTTATTTCAAAACAATGCTGCTATGTAGACATAGCTCGAACGGGGTGTGGCGGTGTGTCGGGGTTCCCTCGCCTCTGCACCCCCGTAGTGGCACGAACAGACTCTATCAGCCGGCAGAATAGAGGGAGTTTATTGCTTCTCCAGGATACAGCACAGCACAGATGTAATCTGGTTACAGGCCCAGGCCTAGGATGCCTCAGCCCCCTTGAAATGGGGGAGACTGGGCTCCTAAATCCTAGCCCCTTGCTTAGGCTGCTTTATCCATGATTCTCAGCCCTCCTTTCTTTGTCTCCCTCCCTGGGAGGCTGAGCCTGTGTGTCTGGGTTAATACACATTTGGGAGAGTCAGTGAGAATCTCCCATCACAGTGCAGGGGGACACCGGGTCACAGAGCAGACAGCACCCCAACTATGCCACAAGGGGATATGATAGAGATTAATAAAAACATGACTGGTATGGAGAAACTAAATAAGGAAAAGTTATTTACTTGTTCTCATAACAAGAACTAGGGGTCACCAAATGAGATTAATAGGTAGCAGGTTTAAAACTAACAAAAGGAAGTATTTCAACTTAATGCAAAGTTAACCTGTGGAACTCCTTGCGAGAGGATGTTGTGAAGACCAGGATTTTAACTGGGTTCAAAAAAGAACTAGATAAATACATGGACTATAGGTCCAGCAATGGCTATTAGTCAGCATGGGTAGGAATCGTGTCTATAGTCTCTGTTTGTCAGAGCTGAGAATGGGCAACAGGGGATGGCTCATTGGTGATTACCTGTTCTGTTCATTCCCTTTCAGGCACCTGGCACTGGCCATAGTCAGAAGACAGAGAACTGGGCTAGATGTACCTTTGGTCTGACCCAGTCTGGCCGTTCCTATGTTCTTATGTACTCGTGGGCCATGGAATGGTCTGGATTAAAGAAGCATGGCCTGTTTCTGAGCTGTGATGAAATTCAACACAAAGATGGGAATGTACATAATTTCTTTGCTTTTGCTGATGAAATCATTCTTTAGTAGTCTGAGGATGGGAAAATGGGGTAGGTTTAGAAGTTAAAATAAAAAAAGAACAAGTTAAAATCACTTAGAAAAGTTAGATGTCTGCAAGTCACCAGGGCCTCATGAAATGCATCCTAGAAAACTCAAGGAGCTGACAAAGAAGGTCTCTGAGCTGTTAGCTATCATTTTTGAAAAATCATGGATGTAAGAATAGATTTCCCAGATGACTGGGAAAAGGCAAATATAGTGCCCATCTATAAAAAGGGAAATAAGAACAGCCCAGGAAACTACAGACCAGCCAAGAAAGAAAATGGAGCAGGTAATTAAGGAAGAAAATAAGGTGATGGGTAACAGCCAGCATGGATTTGTAAAGAACAAATCATATCAAACCAATCTGTTAGCTTTCTTTGATAGGATAACGAGTCTTGTGGATAAGGGAGAAGAGGTGGATGTGGTATACCTAGACTTTAGTAATGCATTTGATATGGTCTTGCATGATCTTCTTAACAATAAACTAGGCAAATACAACTTAGATGGGGCTACTATATGGTGGGTGCATAACTGGCTAGATAACCATTCTTAGAGAGTAGTTATTAACAGTTCATAGTCATGCTGGAAGGGCATAACAAGTGGGATTCTGCAGGGCACTGTTTTGGGACCAGTTCTGTTCAATATCTTCATCAACAATTTAGATATTGGCATAGAGAGTACGCTTATTAATTTTGCAGATGATCCCAAGCTAGGAGGGGTTGCAACTGCTTTGGAGAATAGGGTCATAATTCAAAATGATCTGGACAAACTGGAGAAATGATCTCAGGTATATAGGATGAAGTTTCAATAAGGACAAATGCAAAGTACACCACTTAGGAAGGAACAATCTGTTTCACACATACAGAATGGGAAGTGACTGTCTAGGAGAGTACTGCAGAAAGGGATTTAGGGGTCATAGCGGACCACAAGCTAAATATGAGTCAACAACGTGACACTGTTGCAAAAAAACCAAACATGATTCTCAGCTGTATTAACAGGAGTGTTGTGAGCAAGACTAGGGTTACCAGGTAGTCTAAAAAAAAATACCAGACACACTCGATTGGGGCAGAGGGGGGCAGAGACCGGCCAGGACGGGAGCGGGGCTGGACTGGAGGAAGGGGAAGCAGAGCTGGGGAGAGGGGTCGGGGGCAGCGGGGATTGCAAAAAAACCAAACATGATTCTCAGCTGTATTAACAGGAGTGTTGTGAGCAAGACTAGGGTTACCAGGTAGTCTAAAAAAAAATACCAGACACACTCGATTGGGGCAGAGGGGGGCAGAGACCGGCCAGGACGGGAGCGGGGCTGGACTGGAGGAAGGGGAAGCAGAGCTGGGGAGAGGGGTCGGGGGCAGCGGGGATG